AAAAAAAACTATATATATATATATATATATATATAGTTTTTTTTTTTAGTTTTTCCTGCAGAACTTGCTTGAAAGTATCCTGATCTATGTTTTTAACCAATGCTTCTTCACTGTTCTCATATGATATCTCTAAAATGTGCCATAGCCTATGATGATAAGAGAACAAAATTGACACATAAATGTAGCTTTCATTCAAATGTTGTCACAATGATTGGTAAATATGGCGCCAACTTTAACAGCATAGTTAGTACAAAAGTTTTTTTTTTTCTTTTAACATTTCTCTCCCTCCCTCCCTCTCTCCCTCCCTCTTTTTCTCTTATTGTTTTTATTGTGTGGTCTCATTAGGGGGACTTCCTGGCAGGAATGGGAGCTTGTATCGGAGCTGTCCAATCAGTGTATTTACACGGGTTGTTAGCGACAGTTAATGAGGGCTCCTCCCCGGGCCGGTAGAGAAAAGGCGCCTCGACATTAAGATTTACCTTGTGTCAACTCGTTACTTCTAATGAACCTCCCTGAAAAAGCCTCCTTCGTAGTCAATGGAGCCGTGCGCCCGGATCCTGTGTGTGGGGCTGGAAGAGTGGAGCTGCAAGCAGGCCTCCTTATCCCCCATCCCATTTTTCTTCCGCTCACTGGGAGAGTGTTTTTCCCCCTCTTGCAGACTCAGCCCTATGATGCTTGCATGTTTTGTATGCTGCCTTTTCTTTGTTTCATAATATCCCATGGAGTAAGGGTGTTAGCGTATATTTGACAGCAAGTTATGGGATCTGCAGGTTTTCAGTCACGCACAAGATCATTGATCACATCAGTACAAATCTGCGCCTATAGCAATAAAACTGTGATCAGATACACCTAGTGAGGCGGTTTTGCGTGCATCTACCAGAAATATCCTCGATTCTTTGTTTGAACGAGGCTTGACATGTCAACTTATTGCTTGTCCAAAAAAAAAAAGGAAAAAAAAAAGAAAGAAAGACAGAAAAGAAAAAAATAATAATTTACCCCCATCCTCCATCCCTCCCCCCCCAAAGAACAGATCAGCCTCTGGCCCCTCTGTCCATCCCTCATATGGCCCCCAGTGTGGCTTGTTGAGCCGCATCAGCAACACATCACTGCCCTTGAATTCAGGTACAAACTGGAGGAGTTTGGCAGATCACTGAAAGTGGATTCCCTCCCACTCTTGCCAAACCCTTCAAACACTTAAAAATCAATTAGCCTTATCTGGTCACACCCTG